CAACCTATAGTACAATATAGTACAATATATATAGTACAATAGTACAATATGAAATATGCTTTGCCTTTAAATGACCCACAAAGGCTATAAAAGTCGCAAAAAAGCAAATCAGTCAATTAACAATCTTATTATTATTTTCAAAATATATCAAACAAGTCTTCCAGTATATGATTAAATCAATACAACAAAAGGTATTTTGCTCTAATTTTGTTAATAAGATGATGAATATTGTCACTTGGTCTCTTGAACTCTTTTACAAATGTAAATGCATGCAATAAATACAATTATTTTTCCGCCATGTCTAAGAAAAAAGTAAACACGATCGATTTTTACAATAGGTGTTAAAAACAGAATTATACACATTCCCTATAACTTGTGTATCTCTAATATTAAATTTTAAACAGTGAATTGAATTACCCGGTATAGTAGTCACCCTGGAGATTTTGAAAATTGTACTAAGTTGTTAAAATAAAATTGTTATGTTTTGTACAAAAATGCCGAAAAAAGTGCTGAAAATACAATCAAGCTTCCTAAATATTTATATAAAATACGTAATAATATCTACATTCTATGCCGGTTTAAATTCGATAATGTGTAATTGCTTCAACCTCTTTCTACATGGCTCTGTGTGTGTGTGTGTGTGTGTGTGTGTGTGTGTGTGTGTGTGTGTGTGTGTGTGTGTGTGTGTGTGTGTGTGTGAGAGAGAGAGAGAGAGAGAGAGAGGGAGAGGGGGACTGAGACAAACAGAAAGAAACAGTTTCTTTAAAATCTGATAATTATTCAATCTTTGTAAAAATTTCCAAATCAATGTGTTTTAACGCAAAAAAGACGCTAAAATTTCCTATTCTAACCTTTGCTGCCCCTGTTGGCGCAAAATTTCGGACGTGCTAGAAGGGTTAAAAAAAATTTAATAAAATAATAAAAAATACTTCGATCTTTCCTCTTAATAATAAACATTTTGACAATAAAAGTTTTTTTTCTTTTTTTTTATCAAGTTTGGGACCTTTTTCATCATGCTATGATCTTTTTTCAGCGAATTATTGGAGGTACCTATAAGTCTTATACAAAAATGGATTTACTTAACATACAGGCAGTTTTTTCGCCTGTGAATTCAATCGTAATCTAGTAATGAATTCATTAAAGAATGTTAGTTTGTTCTTAAATGTTTTAATATCTTTTATTGTTCTAGGATATTAAAGTTCATTGAAGAAATGAGGCCAGAAATTAATATTAGTAGTACTAGTTTTATTGCTAAGGATATAATTATTTTTAACAACCGAATTTCATTTTGTTGTCTTTTGTAAACATTAAAGTACAGACGGTAAAAGCCTTGCTCAAGTCAGATGCATTATTATAAAAAATAAAAAAAAACTGAGTTTTTCGCGCGATCTTCTTGTATTTTTCAAAAACTTTAAATATATTTTAAATATTATCTTAACTGTATTTTATATATGTGCTGTGTGTGTTTGATTGCGTGTGTCTGATTGTGTGTCCATGCATATTTTTCTTTTAAGTGAGGTTCAATCTCTACAGGGCCCGGATACGTTGGGATGAAGATAACGATTAACGCTAGACTTGTGGTGTGGCTCTCGTGCGTGTGTCTGATAATGTGTAATGAATGACATAAACTTACATCCCAGGTCATGTTTTTTGCTAATACTTGCTTATTTTCTGATTGTACAAGGTACCGAAAAGTTTTCAGATTGAACAAGAAGGGATTTAAAAGATGGACTTTGGTCAGATGTGAAGAAGTTGGTCAGGCCGAGAACATTTGCAACATGTCACGTGTACACAAGAAACAAACCGAAGATCTAAGAAGAAGCCTCACCAACGACCAGTTTGAAATTCATTGAATTCTAGAGTAATATATATATATATATATATATATATATATATATATATTATTACGTCAGTTATGTTTCTTATTATATGTATAAACACACACACACATATATATATATATGTATGTATGTATGTATGTATATGTGTGTGTGTATGTGTGATTGCATTGGCACTTTACTCGCATGCATATGAATATAAGTTCTTGAGACTAGGTATGTGTTTGAATCAAGCAATGTTCTAGTATGCAATTTTTATACTAACACACACACATACTTATATATATATATATACATATATTATATATATATATATATGTTAAAATAAAGAACATTTGATCTATAACACACATATATATATATATATATATATATGTGTGTGTGTGTGTATGCATGCATATATATGACATATATATCGGTACGTCTATATGTAAGTGAAAATTCGTATGCATGTGTGTGTGATACTAAAAGAGTCAAATTAAACCTCAATTAATAAATATTTATGTCTAAGTGGTTTATCAGACTGAAAACAGACAGAAAATTGATGTTGAAAGATTTTCTGTATAACACTTAAGCATTAATCGCCTATTAAGACTTGTGGTCTACAGAAAAACACGATTAAAATTGAGTTTGCATAGGTAGTTTATTACTTTGATATCTATTAATACATAACTCACAAAGTGCACACACGCTATTTTATGGGATGTATGTTCCCTCCACACACAAGCAGACAAAAAATATATATGATCATAAAGTGTGTATATTTTGTGTTGAGCAAATTCAGAATAACGAAAAAAAATCCATATAAACATATAGCCGAAAATTCTTCGTTTTTGAGTTATTTCGTTTAACGAAATTTTACGGTACATGGTGCCGTGTTGAAAGTGTAGACTAAGTTACATTTGTCATTCGTGTACATTTGTGGCTGGACTGTCTTGAACGTTTAATGTGTGTAGTAGTGAGTTAATTGAAAAGTGTTCACTTTAACAATGGTAGGATATTCATATCGTGGGCAGGCAGATATGATTTTTAGATACGGCCACACGAATGGTAATGGACGCGAGGTTGCGCGGCTGAATAAGATTGCGATTCCAGACCAAATGCAGCCGAGACATCCAACCTTTGTGGCTGTTTATCGTCGCGATGCTGAGACAGGATCCGCGGCGTCGCAAACTATGGATCAATTAAGACCGAGATCCTCCCGTACGCCTGATCACAAAGACCACAACGATATCCATTGGGACATATGTTTATATGGACATTTTACCTGGTTTTGGTGTCAGGACCCCTTCAAAGTCTGTAAAAAGTATTTTTGATACACCCTATATATATATATATATATATATATATATATATAGGTGTATATATATATATATATATATATATATATATATATATATATATATATATATATATATATATATATATATATATATATATATATATATATATATATATATATATTTCGGAAAGCAGGGACTTTAGAAACCAATGGTAATATTTTATTTCATAAAAACCGTACTTCGGCTTCGTCTCATCAGACCAAACAGTTTCAACAATAAATGGATTTAAAATTCTACCAGGCACAAAATTAAATATCTAAACATAATTTATGTTTTAAATTATAGATTTAAAAGGGGGAAAGGAAAACAAAGAATGAGAAAAAGAGGAGAAAAAGAAAGATATGTTTATATATATATATATATATATATATATATATATATATATATATATATATATATATATAAACCGTAAACCGATGAGAGTAGACAAGTTGAGCGATGTGAGATGTGAAGTACAGAGAATATCTTCAAAAGGGAACAGAAGAAAGAGACAAAGGAAAGAGGGCAAAGGAAAAAAGATAGAAAAGATTAAGAAAACAAGAGAAAGAAAGGGAAAACTTGAAAGATTATTCGGAACTAGTAATCGTCGGTGTTTAAAATTGAATATATTCAAAAAAATTTCTGTTTAATGCATGTAGTTATTAGCGACATCAATTCCCGTGTAATTTTAAGAATTAAAAAAATAAAATAAAACTTTCCAAAACTTATATAATAATTTTAAAATATATATATATATCTAAAAAGATTTTTTAAAAATATAATAATAAATTAATAAGAAAAAGATCATTTCAAGCAAATAAAAATAAAATAAAAGTTACGAAGATACATTTGCACCGACATACATATTTCCAGATTAACATAAGATGAGACGTATCGGTTTTGCGAAATAAGATATTACCATGGGTTTCTAAAGTCTCTGCTTTCATCATTATCATTCGCTCTGTTCTTACATTGAGCTCTCCCTGAATCTATATCCTCTTTGAAATTATTCATACGGATTACCAAGTAATATTATCATCTCTCTCTCTCTCTCTCTCTCTCTCTCTCTATATATATATATATATATATATATATATATATATATATATATATATCGAGATATTTATTGACATTGACTTTTAGCACCTCCTTATGACTGACCTTATTAAATCGTGAATAAACACCGTAACGCATACCCAAATACAGAGAACACGTAGGTTTATTTGTTCTGGTAGACATGTTTATTTAAATGCACTCGCATACGCATGTATACTGTTATTTGCTATAGATACTTGTTCATCCATGGAATTTTGCCTTATATGAAACAATCGTAAAAACGTATTTGCATCGATAATAGCAAATGTATATATCCAAATTAAATGTACGAAAACATTCCCATCGCAAATTTTAGACGACATGCATCCCATGTTTGTGGCTGGAGGTGGCAGGAGGGTTTCAATGTGAGTGTGAAGTTGTAGAACCTCGATAATCGATTGCTTCATATACATTTAATCATTATCAAGTCTTATTGGCAATTTTGAGATTACGTGATGAAGAATTTTCAACATTATAACTATGTTTTCAATATATTGCACTGAATGTGTGTGTGCTTATGTGCATAAATAAATGCATGTCTATATGAAAATAGTTTGTCTTTTACCGAGTCTTAAACAAGAGTGTTAAGAGCGTATTTTAGTATGACTTTGATAACACTTGAATGCTTACCAATCTGACCCTGGAAACTATGGTTAAATATATTCCATTTATCTCATTATTATAGCGGACACTTCTCACTTGAAATAAACGTTTTGTTTCATTTATTAAACATTATGTAATAAGT